TCAAATTCTAGCATGCGCTGAGTTACTAAAATACGAGTTGCAAAAATCGTTTAACATCATTTCCGTCAACATCTAGTTAGATTAAGAGCATGGAAGAAAATCACACAAGCGGTCCTCACCCATGCTTTTCCCAGCTTCTAACACTTGAATTTGCTGCATCAAGTATGGCACTTCACCCTGCGGTACATCCGTTGCTTGGGCAACCACAGATTGTATACGGTCCAATTCTTCCTAAAGGTACAGGAAAAAAATAGAAATATATGTTGGGTTTTATGCTATGTGATTACCTTGAGTTTTTCAGCATAAGTATGTTCCTCTTTGATCTGCAGTCTCAATTCTTCTATTTCTTTATCCTTCGATGAAAATGATCCTGGGCTTGTTCCTATAATTGCAGAAATCTCGATCTCAGCAAGCATTTACTGAGGCGATTAGTACCTATGGAGTTGGACGAAACTGTAGTAGCGGTATCAAAATTTGGGTTGACTAATGACATGTCCTATAAAGATATGAGGACAATAGATGCAACGAAACGGCAATATGTTTACTAAATCACCTTATTGTGGGCCTCCTCAAAATGCTCCGATAGCGACTCAGGAGAGTTGTAGTGGACCATGCATATTGGACAAAGAAATCCCTCAATCTCATCATCGACATTATTTTGGCTAGTATCAGAGGACGAGAAGAATGAGGAGTCGTCGCCGCGATTTTCACGACCAGAAGGAGAAAGTACACCGGGCAACTGGAAGAAAAAGGGATTCTTCCAAGGGTTTATCAAACATGATAGCACGATTACATTCAAGCAATCAATCACGACTGCACAATAAAAAACAGAATCAGTAAACTGAAATAAAAAACTGGAGAACAGCGAAACAAAACTCAATTACCTCATTCGCAACTTGGCTAACTTGCGCTTTCAAACGCCGCAGCATCACGAACGTCCTCTTTCACTAGTTCAGTCGAATCCGGTCACTCACTCCAAGTTTGCCTTCACGAATCTAGAAAAATCGTTTGTGATTCTGTTTATGCAAGCATCCAAGCATATACAAGCGTGCAAAAAGATCTGAATATCAAAAGCAATCATAGTTTCACAATAAATGCATCGATTACTAGCTGAATTACTAATGAAAAGTGCCGAGAAACCTGTTGAAACGACTGATAGATGATGAGCACGTCAATGTTTATCAACTGTCGTGCTTGCGGACAACGTCGCCA